CACAGACCTGATTTGCACTGCTGGACCCTGACTTAGAAAAGAGCACTTAAGGCATATTTACCATCACTGCTGACATCTGCTGGAACAAACAAGTGGAATCTTCCAAACAATCCAACTTGTTCTGGCTTTTTACCATGCCCTAGCTTAGACCCACTGAAACATCTTAGCAGCTCTACCGGTTTTCTGGGGGAAGAAATACTGTTCCACAGGAATCTACGAGGTTTGAGAGACCAGAGCTGACCCACACCCGGCTAACTCTGTGGCACTAAGTGGGATTTAGCAACTTTGTAGACGTTGACAAAGCATGGCCAAGAACAGATTCAGCATGTGCCACCAGTGCTGCCTCCAGGATTCTTCCAGCCTTTGGTGGAATATTTTTCTATAAGTGAAGAATTTCATATTAGAAAAGAATGCATTGTTCTGCATGGAGACAGGTACAAAATGCTGTTTTAAAAAATTATTTTACTCTGTTCATTGTTTCATGTCACTTTCCTTAAGCATCTTTGCCAGCTAAAAAGTCCTGAGGTCAACTTCCTGTTTTTACCCTCAAGCTGCCAGTTTTCTTCCCTGCCCTCAGCTGGTGATGTCAGCAACTTGTCTTGTCATGCTTTTAATGTCTTAACAGCTTTGGTCAGGTTACTGTAAAATCCAGATATGCTAGATGGAAAAAAGGAATCCACCACTGTCTGGGGAAGGTAGCCACCAAGATCCGTCTGAAAGAAAGTGAGGAGCTGAGTCCTGTCTGGTTCCCTGCAAAGAAAATGCAAGTGATTTTACAGCGAGCAGTTTAAGAGCATTAAGAACTTTTCAATGACTCTTACATGTATTAGAATAGGTATTTCTAAGAACTTTTTTTAAAAAACAAACAGGTAAACTTCAGTGAATGCAGCTATCAAATTACAGATTAAGTAGGCCCCACTTGACTCTGCTTATGAATAATTATAAATTACAATAAACAACTAGATACTCAATTACCAAAAATTAAGACCATATTTGTATGTTTTGCAGAATCTCTGCTTAAGAGATCAGCGAGAATCCTACCATGATGACAGTTTCTGTAACATTAAAGACTTCCCTCTAGGAAATGCAGAGAAACTAACTCATTGCCCAAAAATGAGAACACGAAAAGGGCACTCAGTCATAATGATTACTAGGAAGACAGAAACATGCCACTGCCAAAAGGCTACAGGTCACATGTGGCCACATACACATAAACACACCACACAATAGATAAGAAGAGCTTTAGAATTCAAAACAGTCAAATAGATCATTTCTTACCCTGGAACAGGTATACAGAGACAGCCACAGGGGTAATTAAAACCTCTCACAAAATTTGGTCGAGGAAGACACAGCGGATGTTCCACGTTGGTGGCTGTAAGAAAAAGCAGTGAAGAAAAGTGTCATTCTTACAGAAGATGGGAGAGTGCTCGGTGCTCAAAGTACCAAGCTGGGAAGCAAACTCATTGTATGAAAATATATTTAAAAAGAATGGCAATATAACCCTCCTAAGGTGGGGCTGTGTCATGAAACTGTCAGGAAAGACCATTAAAAGGAACCACCCTGACCTCAGAGTGGCGAAATCAAAGAAGGGTTGAATTTAGAAGCAATTATTACTGAGCTCTGAAGGAAGCATCAGGACACTTCAAGGGAGTTTCACTGAACCCGTGTTGCACAAGGTCATTCAGGTTACACCTTCAATAAAACCATGTCACATGCATATGTCCCTGCTGAAAAGTTACACTCCAGCAAGTATATGAATTCCTGGCAAGGCATTCCTGAACACAGTGGGCAAACGGGACACCTGAACAGTGAAGGAATAAAAGCACTGACTTGGAACAGTTAAACCACAGGGTGAAAGAAACAAAGACATGTCCTTCCATACAGAGGCAGCCCCTTAAAGATCAGGACTATATTTGTTTTCATAAAAACAATAATTTCCATATATAGGAGTGGTACGTTTATTCAGTGGCTTCATCAAAACCTAGATGCAGCCCAGAAAACGTTAAAATGGGATTTAGCCTAAATAGAACTTCTTTTAAAAAGTTCTTTAAATTCTTAAAACAGCAAAAATACACACAAAATACTCCAGAAATTAATAGTAAATTAAATACTTATTCAATCACAAAAGCATAGCAACGGGAGAAACCAGCCAACAAGTATCATCATTACCTGAGTGTTAAGATGACTTATATATACTGAGAACAACAACACAGAGAGACAACTACTATTTTATCTTCTGATCAAGATCAAGTCAACCACTTCTGAGTTACTTAATTTTTATTTCATATTTGTTTCTGGTAGCTGCTGGGTATCTCCTAACGTAACATGAACCCACTGAGAACACCAGTGCCTTACCAGCAGATAGCATTGTCCCATCTTCATACTGCTTCATTACTACCACATCCACAAATTCTCTTGGTGAAATAATCCTCATGAAAGCTGAAGGGGTTGTGGTTCTGCATACAGAGATAGTCTGGAAATCACAAAATAGAGTTATTCAGTTGATGCTTTCAGAAGTATGCAGAAAAATACCTCTACTATTTGGTACACTTTTCAGTTACGCTTTCTAAGCTACATCAAACAGTTCTGCTACACCCTTTGTTTAATAAAATATAAATCAGCACAGTCAAAAGGCACTATGCTGCATAGATGAACGACAGTTTAATGGAGAAAAACATAGTGATAATGTCTTGCTTCCAGGTTGACCAAGGACAGATACCACAAGGGATGCTGAAATGCAAATCTGGCACATCTATAGTCATAGGACAGTTAAAACACTTCTGGTTCCCAGGAAGCAAGCAAAGATAACTCCTTTGTGTCATATACATGGGATACAACTTGATAACCCAATTTCTTACACTGCAGAAACATTAACACTACCATCCCCTTCTGTGGAGGCTCTGTGATAAAAGGCTCCCCAAAACAGACATTCTATCACATTGGTAACTGCTGGCAAGTGTATGAATTTCAAGCAGGAGGTTGCAGTACTCCTCAAGTTTATAATGAATACAAAATGCCTTTAAAGTTCCCCCAAGAAAAACAAATTTCACACGACTTCCACAAGCATTTCTGAGACCTCTTGTGTTTGCACCTGGCTGCCTCCGAGCACCCACATATATTTCAGATTTGGGGATCTAAATCCAATGCCTTTTAAATACTCTAAAGAAAAAAAAAAAGGACTAGAAACTAGAAAAAAAAAAAAGAACTGCAGTAGCAGAAGCTGCTGCTCATACATAGCCTCGTTCATCCGTCATGCTCCAAGCATCTCCATTTTAATGACAGAGACAGAGGTAAAGCATTAGGTCCAAGGCCTGCTAAAGGCAGTGCAGTGCAGAGCATTGCGTGCTGCCATGGTGAAAGATGGGGCCTGAATTAAAGGCTGGTGACATGAATGCTTCACTGCTTAGCTAAGTCTATATATTGTCTAAACCTCCTCTTCTCACACAGAGAGCTTGTTAAAGGTAATAGTGCCTAGCTTGACTTGCAGCATTAACAGCAACATAGTGTGGGAATCTTTAATGCTATATATTTGCATATCTTAAGTATGCAGTATTAGGCAAGAATGTATCAGCAGCTCCTTTCAGAAAGAAAAGCTATTATTTATACATGTTAACAGAATATATAAAATTGATGGAAAAGAAAAAAAAATGAAAGAAAAAAACAGGTTTGTTATCCCAGTATTGTCAAGCTGATCCAGACAGAGACATAACACAACTTTTTAAGACCTCTTTCCCTCCCTGCAGGTAACACTGGCTGTCTGCTGAGGCACGACAGGAAGGGCTGTGCGGATCCCAGAGCTGCTCAACACACGCTGCATTAATCTCACCAGGACAGTTTTTAAGGAACTTACATCGGTGAGGGCTTCGATGACTTCGAAATCCTTCACGTTTTGGTCCCATTTGGTCCTGAGCCCGCCGGCCACCGGCTTGATGCATTCCCAGACATCCCGCGGGCTGGCGGGCAGGATCCCCTCTCCCCTGTACCTGCGGCGGGACGAAACGAAACCAAACGTTTCCCCCCTACTCTGCCCGGTCCCTCACCGCGGGGACGATCCCCCTCACCCCGGGGACGGGCCGTACTCACAGGTTACCAGCGAACTCCGTCGAGGGTCTCCAGGACACCGCGACCTCGCCCTGCGGGAGGGGAAGCGTTCAGCCGCCGGGCCGGGCCGGCCCCCAGCCCTCCCCTCCCCTCCCCGCCGCGGCCCCGCTCACCCACCGTGCTCCGGCAGCCCCTCCAGCCGCCGGGGTCCTGCCGGTACAGCTGCAGCTGCTCGGCCGCCGCCTCGGCGCGCTCCTCAGGCTCCATGGCGGGCGGGAGGGGCCGCCCCGCCGCCTTTGAGCGCCCGCGCCGCGCCGCCCCTGGGCCGACAGCGGCACCGCCCCATCACCTGAGGGTCAGCCGGGCCGGCCCCGCCGCGCCTCCCGCCGAGCGGGGCGGGGGAGCCCGGCACGGGATCACCGGGGCTGCCCTGCGAGGCCTGCGGAGAAACGAGCCCCAGTACCGCGGGAAGGTCCCAGGGATCGGGGCCGGAGCGCTGCCGAGCGCTTCCCTAGAGATGGGCCCGCCCCGCGCCCGCCACAGCGGGATCCCAATCCCAGTGACATGGGCCAGGGGGGATGGGGAATAAAATCTTCAGCCTCTAAAGAGAGTGTAAAATTGCAATTGTGCGCGAAAAAAGCGGGATAGAATTTAGAATTCAGTTAGGGGTAGTGAAGCGAGTTTTTTACAGGCCACGGGTCGAAAGTTTTCCTCTCTGAGAAGCTTATCAGGCTGGGCTGAGTCTTACCAGAAAATTGACAGAGGATCTAGGATTTAATCTAGAAGGCTGGCACGCGTTGCTATGATCAAATAAATCCAGGGATTATTATGCAGGGCCTTGTAAAAAAAAATCTCAGTATTTGCTCTTATTAACTTTTGTCCCCCTGATTTATTTGAGCCACAGTGTATTCAAATAAGGCACATGAAGATGCCATACTCTTAAGCAGTAATGCCGTTTGTAGGAAGCTGATTCCTGGCTGAATTTATTCAGTGGAAGCATCTTTATCTGTGACTATGCCAGATAAAGAGAACCTCATCTCATATTTTTGTACTGGTTTAAAGGAAGAGCCCCAGGTACACGGCTTTTGATTTTCCAGTAGTTGGATATTTTGTGTTTTTTTAACAGCATAATAAGGAACAACTTGGAACGTTTTCGTCTTGCAACATACCAGTTGTGATATTAAAGCAAGGTACAGTAAAACACAAGGCTATGTTTTTTCCACTTCAAGTAGCTGCATACATGGTTGTTACAAAGACTACTAATTGTCACAATTACTCTGGTAGACCTCAAACACCAAGTTCAATAAATGCACATACACCTATTGAAAACACAGAAAAGCTTGGGGCACTATCTCAAACATTTGAGCATACCAGTTCATTAGACTCAGTCATACTTAGATCAACACTGTTTTTTGATTTCTTTTTGGTGAGCTTTGTTCCAGATTTTGGATACTTGTCCTTGCTATGAATGACCTGGATGTACTGGTCATTGCTGCTGTTCTGCGGATCACTGCTGGATTCAATGGAAATGGAATCAGATTCTGTTAGAGATTGCTCCAGTTTTTGCTTTGATTTTGGTTTCACACGGGGCTCAGGATAGTTCAGATGTACTTTTTTGTAAGCATATGGAGGCCTGTCCAGTTCCAGCTCGAAACCATCATCCCAGGATTTGCAATGCACTCTGGCAGCATGTTCCCCGATGTAAAACCGTGGTGCTGGGCGAAGGTCAGACAGTGAGCGAGGGCGGTGAGATCTGCTCATTAATTCTCTCCCAAGTTCTTCCTCATCCTCATCATCTTCACTGGGATGAGAGGAATACATCTCGTGTGGTGTTCGAACCACGTATCTTCTGACATGGCGTGGATACAACTCAATAATGTCTCCTGACTCCTCCTTTCTGAAATGCCTTTGGAGTCGGGAGGTAGAACGGAGGGATTTTTTGCGGGGCTCATTTTCATTAACCAGAAAATACCTGGTAGCATATGGTCTACATTCCACAAAAACAGGAGCCCCTGCCCCAAGGGCATCCGGATTTACCTGCCGAATGGCTTTTCTGAAAAGAGGCTCAGAATGAATATCTTCAGTGTGCTTTTTGAAAGCCACCGGTGTGCAGGACTTTGTTTTGCAGAGCTCACTTGTGCTCCTATGCACAACACCTGGGTATCTTTAGGAGGGGAAAAAAAAAAATGAAGAAAATACTGAAATACCTATCAATTAATGTAATTAAAACATAAAAAAATTGCTGCTCTCGAAGTCAAACACTAGGTTGAAAGAGTGGAGATCATCGTATTTCCACTGTTCCAAATTTTTAGAACCATTCTGAGAAACATACCCCAGAAATTAGGAGATATATTTGTTCTCCCTGGGAAAAGGCAGCAGGCAATTGACCTCTCATGTTATGTTCCCTTTCTGTTTTCATATTATTCTGAGAACTGTTCTTTATCTATCACACAACAGGCAGCTTAAAGCATCAATCGGCTGATGTCCTAAACTGATTGCACTACAACTAGACCTGCATGGAATTCCTTCAGTCTTACTGCGTTTGTCTTGTTCATGGAAACAGTATCCCACACAAACTATTTTAGTTATGTGCCTGAGGGGAAGTTTAGTATTTACCTTTGCTCAAGGTATGTGTAAACTCCATCAACTACATCATTTCAAAAGGTTTATAATCCCATCTCAAGCGAAACTTATGGAGGTGGTGTCACCAGCAATATGAATAGTCCCCCTGAATTAATCTGCTTTAAAAAAAATTTCTCAGCTGCCTAACAGCTTGAGACAGACTGAATGCACAGCTATCTTGGAAATAAACACAGCTATTTTGTCAATAAACACGCATATGTCATGGAGCTGCTGGGATAAATGGCATTTCAAAACCAAAGCAGACTTACCTGTTTGTGATATGATCATTTCTTGGTTTCTGTACACTTGTTATGGAGGGAGCTGGCGTTAAAGAGGTTGAAGTTGTGGGAGTTGCGTTGACAGGTCTTGCAACATCAGTTGATGGCACCGTTTGTGGCACAGACTGGGAAATGGTTTGTATTCTGGTGCCTTTGCTCACGGGAGATTCAAAGTTCAAGACACTGCCGTTCTTTCGGGGAGTTGAGGATCGAACAGAAGACTCTTGGCTGATAATATCATTGTCTTGGTCTGGTCTCTTGTCATTACTATCCAGATTTTGGATTCTGGCTAAAGAACAGAAATTATTACAGGAACTATCCAGTTCTCTATATTTAGAAGCTGCTGTGTAAATGCAATTGCTCAAATTCCCCCTTCAGTCAGGGATCCGATGCCAACAGAACCTAATGTGTTCAGAAAAGAGAAACTGGTGCCACGAAGGGAGATGTGATGATAAAGGGGTGGATCCTCATACTAAAGTATGTGGTAAATGGAGTATTGAGGATATAGAAAAAACCCTGGATGTTGCACTGTAGGATTCCAAATTGGGCAACAAGCCAACACGTCTTTTTAGAAGACCCAATTTGGTTCTCAACACACACTATACAGTTTTTAAAATGTAGTTGTAGCTCCCTATCTGAGAAATCAAAATGGTTTTGCGTCCAAATGCTTAATTAATAGTGGCATTTCTAAAGCTAGCCTACTTACCTACTGCCATCTGAACCACCTTTTTCTTATCTTCAGTTCTTTCCTAAAATACATTCAGAAGAATGGGAAGCAGTAAATTATTATAGATTATTATAGATTAGACAGTAAATCCACTTCTCTGTAAAGATTAAACACATGGGATTTGTTTTACAGTGTTTTATGAAACACTGGAAGTTACTGTAGTGATTTAATTAGGTTTGTACCTTACTGAAAACCCACCAAATTACATGTAAAAGTTCTGTGCACTGTACTTACTGTTTGGATCTTCATTCTCAGTTGATTGTTGGTGAATTTTAATGATCTTGCAATACTTTGTAGGTAGTAGATTAGCATGCTAGAAGTGAAAGAGGTGATATGAATTACTTCAAACATTCTTGACACAGTTTCCCTTTGAGGGTTTATAGGTCATCAAAATGATGTACAGGTTCAGTTGTTGCTCTGTATCATTTTCTTATACAACAATAATCAATCACAGCCTTCTTTCAAGCAAACACATAAAAGAAATAAATGACACTGAAAACAGATTTAATAGCAGTTCTAATTTCACCTGTGGTTTTTACAGCTCTTTTCATTGTCCATGTAACCCTGGGTGCATTTCTAATTTTTTTTTTTTTTTTTTTTAAATTCTGGACACGTAATTTTGATAAATATTGTCTTGTTTTTTCCCCCCAGTCCAGGGTTACGGAACAGAGACACCAGAACTACAGCTGAGCTTGCACACTCATACCAATGTAATTTTGTTGGCTGACTGAAATAACACCTTGTTTACCCTGGCACAGCCGAGATCAGATCCTGGCAGGTTATGGCCTGACATAATGGATTACACTGGCTTTCAGTTGAAGTAAAGTCTCTAGCTAGACTTCATACCACAAATATTTACAAATGTGCTTTGCCCTCAGTTTGAAACAGTCGATAGATCTACTTGAATTTGTAAATATGCTCATATTTACATGACCGAGATCTTAGAGGAAAAAGTTACAAATAGGAAGTGTTGCCTCGATCTTTCTCATTTGTTTGAAAAGCCCAATGGCAGAACAAACTCTGCCTTTGTCTTCAGTTTACAGGGAGAAAAATGGTACAAAAGTACATGCAAGACAAAAGATGTTTCATAGAAGCAAAGTGAATTTCAAACATCTCAAAGTTGATATTAATTCCCAGCTAGGAACAATTATTTAGAGTCTAAGTAAGAAAAGACTTCCACTGGAGAGTCTGCAGCAAGTTATATTAAATTAACACTTAAGAGCAGACAGTCATAATTGATTTATCTTGTCAGAAATCAGGATGACTGAGTACCTTCTTTAAAAGACAGACTGTTCACTGTCATAAACTGAAGTGAAGACCATGAGGAAATGGAAAAATTATTTCTGATGAACTCTTGAGAGAAAACTTAACTTCCTGGAAAAAGCAGCACTGCAAGCCTTGACACAATAGAATGAGCTTGCTCTAACACAGTATCCCAAAACAAGAAATTCCTTTTGATAATGCAGTAATAGTCTTTAACATACTGTTATTCCTGTCTGATTCATACACCATATATTCAGTGAGGTTACAAGAAATTCCTTTTGATAATGCAGTAATAGTCTTTAACATACTCTTATTCTTGTCTGATCCATACACCATATATTCAGTGAGGTGTTGGATTTTTTTTTAAGCACATATGCTTAATAAAATTGCAAAAATGCAGTGTTTGTTCCTCAGTATCAATATTTGACTCTCCAGAGATAAGGCCAGTATTATTAAAATCAATTTAACCTGCCTGTGAAAACCAAAGTACTTACAATAAAAGCAGTAGTGCAGGGAGGACAACCACAGGACTGCTGATGTAAGTAATCACTGTGTTGAACCACGTGGGAAAATCATTTTGAATCGTTTCAGAAACAATATCATATATTTTTTCTTGACCACTATATGAGGTGGAGGGGCAAAAAAGGTAAAAATAATTTGCTAGTAATCCTAGGTATATTTGTTAAGCAGTGTTGCACTGAATAAACGAGAATTTTCATCCAAAACTACTTTGGAAAATTACAGTGAAAAGGAAAAAAAACTTGAGACACAAGACAGTGACACGTGTGAGATTACATAATATAATGCAATGTACTACTGAGCAAACATAACTGAACTGTTTCTATAGAGCAAATACACTCAGAACAATTACATATTCACTTTATTATACCTTAAACTGTAAAACACTGGCAGTAGAAAAGCATTGTGATTTTTTCTCTCTTTTTACATCTATAATTTGTTTATTATTAAACCTGATTTTATTGTAGGAGGGGGAAATAGAATCTTTGCAATTTTCATTAGTCTGTTCTAACTTACCTGAAGGGACCGCAGCTTAAAGATGGCTTATATCTGGCAATAGCAAAAATTGTTGGTAACATGCATAAGAACAACATAAACAGCAACATGGCCAAGTAGAAATTATTGGACCTGCAAGAAGGTGCAACAAGTTTCAGATTATACTAAGCACAATGAAAAAGAGGCAACTTAAAAGGTTCATGTCTGTGTCTTCCTGTCAAGATCTACATTTCTGAAACATTAAAATCATTCTGCTATAATTAGAAAGCCTGGATAGAGCTGGTTTAGACAGACTCTTAATGATCAAAATCCTATTTACACTGCTTTCCAGATACTGCTGCAGCAGCCAGAGAACTGTTTACTGCACCTTTTGATAAAAACTGACCTTACTGCCCAGTTGCTTTGGGGGAGAAAAAGAACAGTGGCAGAAATTGATTCATCTTCAAGAGATGTTAGAAATAATGGATTCTTAAGAATTAAAGATGTCCTAAATTCTTTTCATTTTGAGTAAATAAGATATTCATCATGATAGAAAAAAAAAAAAAAAAGGGGGAAACTGTTGTGTGATGCAACAGACAAAAGCAGAAACACTTCACAGCTTTCAAGGAGACAAACATGAGAAAATAGGACTTGGAACAGTTAACACATCTAGGTTATTGTGCTCCATCATATTTTGCATTTATATTAGGTCATATATAGCTGTCTAGGAATATTCCCTGACATATTTTTCAGTTCTTGCATATCTTCAACTACCCTGCTTTACAAGCCCTCCAGTTTCCCAGTAACTATATTTTTTTCCACACACCTTTGCTATCAGTATTACTGTGAAATTTGATTGTCAACTTTCAGAGCTAAAATCTCCTTAATTTGATTCATATGCACATTTCCATTGTCTGCATTTGATTTATTCTCTCTCTTTAGTTCTCCTTCTGACTCACCGAGATGCTCTGAAAACCTGCTGATGTGGTACATTGCACGTTAGCACAGCCCAGCTCCTGAGATACATGAGTCCAATCAACTTGAGAACGTTGAATGCTGGTAAGCAAGGTGAAAAGAAAGCTCCCATCCTGGAAAAATAATGTCATGCCAGCGCTCAGTGTTGCCAGAAACCATTTGAATGGCAACAGGATACACAAAAAAACCCCACCGCCAACAGGAAAACAACAGCTCACTGTTAACAGATGATCTGTTAATGTTAAATATCGTATTACCAATATACTACTAGAATAGGTTTCATTGAAATCATCCGATTGACTTAGCAATCAGACAGCAAAGAACAAGAAAAATCACTTAAGGACTACATACCAGATCATTCCTTGGTTATAGACCAAATGCAATACATTCTCTGCAATTTTGAATTCTCCATATTCTGGCTAGAAGAAACGTAGTATAAGATGAATACCTTTCTCTCAATCTTATTTTCAGAACATTTATTTGAAGCGTTTGGCTGAATTAGTTTGCAGGCAACACATAGCCTGAAACATCCAGATCAAATACCAACTTTTGGCAGGCAGTGGGAAAACAGCAGAACCTACTCTGCAGCCAGGGATTAAATAAACTAATTCCTCTCTAGTTTACTTAATTTCTTTAGTTAGGGACAAAGAACACTCCTCAGGCTTCCATAACAACAGCTTCTTGCTAACCAAGTATTACCCACTGTAGTTTTCTTAAAGGGCTGTTTGCTCTTGGTTATAGTATCTTGGACCTCTGTCTTTGTTACAGCTCGATGTTACAGCTACAGAAAAGGGTAGGGAGCAACTCCATGACCTCTGTCTCACCTTTGACTCTGGAATTGCTCAGTGATCTCATTTTGGGAAAATGCACCAGAGACATGGGAGTAGGCTTGAGAAAAACATTCAGTCTCAGCATTTACCCTGTGCCCTCCAATTTAAACTCAGTGTGAGCTGTGCCTTTGTAGATGGGCGCTACCAAGAAATTGTTCATCCGTGGAAAGACTTTAGGGACATTCAGTACTGAGGGAAGGAGCCCACCCATCTTCAGCATCTCAGTTTGATAAAATAAGGACTGTACTTACAAATTTGCTTTCTAGATCCCAGCACCAGCAGTCACTTAAATATCGGACACACAGTCCACGGAAAAAGTCAATTAGCAGGATGCTTGCGACTGTGAAAATCATGTCGATAATGGAAAGCTTTAGCATCTCCTGAAATACACATTGTTCACACATACTGAGTCATTCTGAAAGCGAATGGACTGCATATGGCTCTTTTGCATTTGTACTTGTATTTTTGGCTCAGCTCAGTATTCTGATAAGATATGAATTGAATCTGTAAATTACTTCCTTTTAAGCTTTTCCCTTACTTGTCTTTGTTCTGGCAAAGAGAATAAATATAATCAAGCTTCCAGGGTGCCTTCTACTGCTTGCAGCAATAAAACTCTGGTTATGATGGTATCAAAATTTCTTTTTAATGACTGTTCTGAAAATTTATGTAGTGCAACTGAAACAGGATGGTTTTTCTATTGCACCCAGTCCTTTATTAAACTGACTGTTGCAATACATACTTGCTAAGTGCTTCACAATGAGAAAAATCCTATTATTCATACAAACCCAAACCCCAATGGCATAGGACCATCAAACCATAAAAGAGAGATTTTTAGTGCTTACAAAGGAATGGGGTTATCCTATATTTAATTGAGCTTTCAAAATATAAAATTAAATAGAAAAGGTTCAGTTTCTAAACTTCTCTAGCTGGTTCCAATCATTCAAACCTCCTTAGTTCCTATGAGACTGTACAAAAGGAAGAGGGTTGTACAAGAATAGAAGTTAGGCTGATAAAACTAGGAGGGGTCTTTTTCTCCCAACAGTCAAATAAGACCTTTAATATGCTCACTCTGGAACACAGAGCTTAGCAAGTCAAAACCACACCAGCATCATTCTTAATCTAGTAGCCTAGACATGACTGTGACTGAGAGAGACCAGAGCCTCAAATTACACCTTTTGCATTTTGTGTGGTTAAAATTTCTCTCTCTTTGTGTTAGTGCCCCTGACAGTCACTTTAAATAAAGGCCACAAATAATATACCCTTCACACATAGGGAAGCAAAAAGTGTCATTGAATCTCTGGATTTTCTTCACCCCATTATGGGAACGTGGCACTGCCACCCAACTGGCCCCTGTCCTGCAAATTGATGGTATTTTGAAAACTTTTGGTTTTGTCTTCTCTCCCTCTGAAGAAGTGAAGAGCACTTGATTCTCTAGTGATTTATTGAGGCAGAATAAATAGAGACTTTAGAGATACTGTGCAAATGACCAAGAGCACAATCTCATGCTTGTTTTGGGTCTGCATCTCCATGTATTGAGGCAGCAACCTGAATCTGCACAGGGTGCATGTTGTTGCTTATATGTTTTTATAGTCATGTTTCTCTATATGAGTTAGTGGGATGTATCCTATTAAAATAGGATTCATGTCATGCATCTGTACAGATCTGCCTGTGCAGAGCTGAAGACAGAGACCAAAGCCTGGCAAAAGAACATTTGTACAACACTAAATTTACTGTAGATATCAAAGAAAATCCAAGCTTGTAGCTGTGGCCGATGACTTAGCATAGTCTTTACTCATTCTACACAATCCTTAGCTAAATTAGCTGAATTCTGGAATTTATAGGAAGAAGAGCTCTAAAACTGAACACAACATGATTTTCATTTTTTGCAAATGTAGATTAGGAATAAGATGATAACATAATAGAACAGTTACATACTTGACCAACATATGTCTCCCAGCACTGATCCTGTGGGTTCTGGGTGTTAAAGGAAGTTTTGTTAACCAGTGATTCAGAAACCATCAAGTCTTGCTCTTCCAGTGTGACAGTGCCGCTTCTCTTAATTTGTACATTAGGAATAGTAAAGTTGTCGTCTTTAGAAAGAGTTTTGGTTGCTAAGGAGGTGGTAGAATTACTTGCATTGTTTGTAACGCCAGAGACCTGAAATAATAAATGTCCCCAAAGCTACTTTTTAACTCTACATAGGCGCAGATGTCTGTACCTTCTACACACACAGAGGCATTTCTTCATATATGTTCCAGCAGCAATTAGGTGACTGTTAAGTAGCTGTCAGTGCACAGAATCAAATGGAACTTATAAGGACAAGACTGAAAGCTGATTTTAGCTAGCTGGAAATATTTGACCTAAAGTGATGTTTTGTTCGTTTTTTTTTTTTTTTTTAATAGTTCAGCAGTGTACATAAATATATTTATCTTGTTACATCAGCAGTAAAATGGATCCAGCTCTCCTAAAAAACTAATTTAAAAAACTGTAAGTAAATTCACTAAACTTAACATTACAATCCTATCAAACTGTTATATGTTTTAATCAATTTCAAATAAATTTTCATCTGATTTCACATAAATTACAATAAATGGAATTCTACCTATGAAGTCTGCTAATTTTACACATCAGAAAACACTAAGTTAAACTTACAGTGACACTCATACTGTCCACTTTATCCAGGAGTGCAATGATTAAACTGTAGAGGTTTCCCAGGTATAGAACAAGAACCCTGCAAAGACAATAAAATACAGGTTATCAGAATTGTTATCACATGAAATTCTCATACATTCTCTGGCTTGGCTGGACTAAAACATGTGACATAGAACATACCTTGTCTCTTCTTCCCTTTCTCCCCAAATATTTCTACACTTCATAATGCCCATACCTGGCAAGCTGGAAGCGAAGAGTGGTCCTTGGATGATACATCTCCAGAGCTGCCACAAGTTCAAAAGCAGAGGGTGCAATCATTGTGATCAGTGACACAACTACGCTTACCTACGGAACAAAAATATGCAGCATTTTTGTAGCTTTTTATGTAGATCTTCTGCGGAACCTTGGGTGCTGATTGAAATACTGCTGAGGCACATGCTTTGGTGATTGCTTTACTTGGAGGAGATGCTTTAAAAATTTGTTATTGACATTAGAAATAACAGTAGTTATGGTCCAAAGTTATAGATCTGGAATAGCACTCAGGAGTCTTTACTCCAGATATTGTAGCTTTAAAGTTCTACTTTATTGATTGAAATAAAAACTTAATATGTAGGAAATATGAAGCCAGCATCTTCCTCTGAAATGAATGAGTGGCTTCTCCATACCTAATCACTTTCAGTCATTCCTCTGAATGGAAATATTCACAGAACATTTGGTATCCCCCACCTGGAATCCACTGCTGTTGTCAAAGTCTATTCCTTTCTGATCCATCAGCCCAGTGTTTGCTCAGCTCAGTTATGGGTGCAAAAGCAGAATTGTAAGTGACAGGAGAGTTTAAGCTTTGACCTCACACAAAAGGGACCTGCTAGAACTGCAGTCTCTGTGAAATGAGGACCTGCAACCTCCCCCTGCCCACTTCAGCTCCACTAACACCTGCCAGCAGAGCAAAGGGGGCAAGAGAGTGAAGAGAGATCCAGGGAAGCACCACTCTAACCACTCATCCCTCATTTCTTCTGCCTTATCTCTTGTGATTTATACCTACGTGCCCACTTGCTACAGACAGGCCCAAGACAGTAATCCTCCTTCTACCACAGAGGTGACATAAAAACAGTGTACCTCATTTTTTTCCCATAGAGTCAATTCCTTTTTGATGCGCTCTAACTTTTGGGATCGATCCACGACGAAGTAGATGATGTAAATACTTCCAGCAAGCGAGAGAAGCACAAGGATGTTTGCAATAATTCTTAAGGTTATAGTCACTGCCCTAGAACAAAAGAAAAATACAATACAGTAGGTTGTTTTATGACACCAGGGGTCATTTCTAACATGGTTTACAAGTATGAGACATGCAGATTAGCACTGATACATTAAAACAGTGCTTTGTAAAGTACCTCTGATCTCATATACATACAAGTTTTTGCTTTTCTTCTTCTCCTGCTCTTCCAATATAGCTTCCTTGAAAGAAACACAGCATTACCATTTTAATAACGTTCAGCAAAAATAATGCACACATCTTTCACAGAAATTAAGGTATACTAATAAAAAGCATCACATCCTGGAAGTGCAAGCAGAGAAACACCTCTTTGTCTTCATTGCTTTGTAGCAGTCATATGTGAGCTTCAACAGTGAAGGAGATTTCTGAGAAACATACACAGTAAGCAAGTACTTGTGCACTTTCAGTCATGCATGTTCAAGGGGGTATAACCAGGGGTTTACACTACCAGATTTTTTGCAGGATGCACCTATAGAAACTGGGTGTCACTAGTATAATACAGAAATGTCAGAAGTTAACCTCATTCACTGAAATACCTAAATGTCATAGCTTACTAATTTATCCTTGGCACAATTTGAAGTAATTTTGTTCAATGACAATGAGAATACATCAAATTTGGGAAATTAATTACTTTTGATAACACCACATGTGCTCTTAAATTCTAAGTGGAAAACATCTGTATTTATAAGTGTTTTATAATATTGAGAGAGCTGTAAGATGTCTCTCCATTTGTTATGGAGAAATGAAATAAACTATAGGATCATAAAATATCTCAAGGTGGAAGGGACCCGTAAGGATCATTGAGTCCAACTCCCTGCTGCTCACAGGACTACTTAAAACTAAACCATTTGACTAAGAGCATCGTACAGATGAACTCCAACAGGCTTGGTGCTATGACCCTCTCAAGGGAGCTTGAATAATAGCTGATAAAATAACGAAGAGCAATAATTTGTGTCCAGGAAGTTATAAACCATAAGAGAGAGATATAAAACTTATTACCATTTAAAAAAGCATCTTGCAAAATATGAGATGTGGTTCTGCTTCTCCACTTATTATGAAGGAATCCCTAAGGCATAACACACTCTCTTTGCATAAAAGCAATTACACATTTTATAAAGTTGCATATTTTCCTGTCAAAGCAATTGCTAACATGAATTTGATTCTAACACTCAATGAAATTTCATCACAAGCAAATTTGTTTCTAGTTATATAATTTCCTGTCACACATACAGTTATTTAATACACATACACATTAAATAAAACTCTCCTGAAGGACACAATGGCCTTGCTGTGGCAGAATGTCAGCAAGTATGATGTGCCTGCAATACCACACAGGTGTGAGCCAGCCCTCCCCTGGGCAAACAGATCTGTAAATGAATACCAAAAACCAATAGGAAGTGCAGGGGAATGAGAGGAAGGATTTACATGGCTTACAGATTAACAAGCAAATCAACTTGAAATAATTTGAAGGTCAGTGGCTCACCCTAATGCTGTTGACTATGGCAGCAGCTTTGCTCTCTGCAGCCTCAGGGTTTCCTATCAAATAGTCCCAAGCACAGAACAGTCTCCAGCAGAAAGTGTAATTTTCATCAGAGGCACTTGCTAAACTCATTCTTGAGTTCTTTGCCATTCTGTAAAAAAAAAAAAAAAAAAAAATCAAACTATTTAACTGCTGGTGTTGTGCGAAGATGAACATGAAGAAAATCACTGGTTTAGTTTAGAGTTTTCAGATGTCCCTTCATTTAGAGCTACATAAAGTTTGCAGAAATTGGTGTCATTGTTGGCAGCTTTCTGAAGAACAGAACACAGGGTGAGGTTCAGCACATTAACTTCACTTTACAACTAGTGTAGACGTGACTCACTGTGAAAGGGCATTTTGATGCTTACTATCTTTATAGCTGACAAATAAAGCATTACAACTGTGGACTTACACATATTTCAGTTTTACAATCTCCAGGTAGGATCCAGCTGGAAGACACCATCACTAAGTTTGCTGTTACTGTAATTACTGTAATTACAAGCTAGTTTGGCATAACTGGTAATCATGGACAAGATCAGTCCAGATCAGACAAGACCTTCAAAATATCTGTTATTGTCAAAGAGAAACCCCAATGCTATTTTACAGACCTTGGGAAGAGGGAAGAAAATCCCTTCTCATCTCAGATAGGCAAGGAGGCAGAATATTGCAAAGTGATGAGATTGCAAAGAAATGAGACATAATGGTTTATGAAAGAAAGGGCATCTGGAAGGACAGCAATAAAGAGGGAACTGTACTCAGCTAAGGACAGAGTCACTGAGCTAAGTCAGAAGAGAAGAGAGCGAATCATATCCAGAAACTGCAGATGCATAAATCAGTTCAGACATACCAGTGACCCTTAGCACAAACCAACAGGTAGAATAGAAATAAATGAAAAGAGAAGGTTTGACTTCGAAACTGAGAGTTATTACAGGCAGCGCAAAAAATGTTCCCAGATTGCACAGTGCCAAAAAAGAAGGTATCCAGAAGGGAAAGGAAATCAAATCAGGAGAGGATAGAGTGACCTTGCCCCTTCTCCAAGCACTGCACATCCCTGGATTTATGGTTAGCACTGGCAGTTTTGCTCTCTCTGCTAAGTAACTCCTACTCCTGGCCCTTCAGCAGTAAGCTGCTGAAGCAATGTAAATGATACTACACCTAAGAGGGAATTTTTATATTTGTATTTCAATAGAAGGAAATAATAATGCTGGAAGCATTACACTTCGAACATAAGTTTCTGCCATAACAATATTTATAACAGAAAAGAGGAGAGGGGTTTTCCACAAGTCTTGGGCCTTATATTACACAAACACAAAGCACACAGACGATCATTTGCACTGCCCTCCTTTTATAGACTGGGAAATGGAACAGAGTGTGAAGTTAATGATAGCAAGATAAAGAGCAATTTAGAATTAAGCTCATACTGCCTCCCTGATATTAGCAGGCTTGAACATTTTAACAGAGCTGCGCAGAATGAATACAGGGGAGGTGATATAAATAGCATCACTGATTGTCTGAACATGCAAGCTCATAAAGAGCAATAGAGGGAAGATCTTACTTTTTGAGAAGAATGATGAAGCTGTAAGCAAACACCGCCATTCCAACAAGGAAGTAGGCGAGAGGCAGCCTGTATCCAGCTTTCCCAATCTTCCTGTCACGGCCGTAGTAGCCGTAAAACAAAACAGAGTACTGGAGGTAGCCCTGCGAAGACCAGAGACCGTCAGTAAGAGCAGTAACTAAGGATTGCAACAGAACAGCGATAGTGAAACAAGAAAGAGTGTTTTGAGCCTTGCCCCCAGCGACCAGATGGTGTCCAGGTCTTGAGCAGATGCAATGTGCTCCTTGGGGATGGTCTTGCTGACCGTGCTGCCGAACGGTGCTCCGGCCAGTAGCTGGGGAAGAGAGAGAAGGTCTCAGATCTGAGCCAGGGCTGCACAGTGGAACCCAACAAGAGCTGCCTGCACGGGCGGTACAGTGTCAGTGCCGTGTCAGCTTTAAAAGTTTTGCTTGTTTTAGTGTAAGCATTTTAAAATTAACTGTGACAGTGTTTGATCTCAAAAATGGTATTTCAGAACTAAATTATTTTTCCTTTGAAAAAGTGAAAAATGAAAGTGAATGCCTTTTTTTATTTTCTTTTTTTTTTTTTCCCAGTTTACTTTTTGTTTTTACTGGAGCTGTTTACTTCTGCTTTAGGCAGTGAGAGGAAAAATAAGAGAGTCCCGCATTTTTCGTGAACATTATTAAAGCACGGGATAGGTAAAGCAAAATAATGTTTAAGAATAATTTAACAAAATGAAAATGACAGCTTTACTTTCATACAAGAACAAAAAGTGTTGCCTGTTCAGAACTTCTATGAAATGCTTTCTAATGGAGAATATCCAGAGTCTGGAGAGGGATGTTCTGTTTTTCTGCCTGTAAATGACACTAACAGGGCTTGAACATAATATCAACTACAAATTTTAGGAATTGCTCCTTTATTTCAGTATTCAGATACAAGCATATTCTCTAAAAGAATTAGTACCATGTTGACCAAATATCATCTCTAACACTAATAGCAAAAATCCGTTATCCTTTGGCAGAGAGAAACTTCTTAATAGGGGAATTTATTTTAAATAATTCATGTAAAATTGTACATTACAAATTGATGCATGACTTTAAGTGTTGTGTTTGTTTCCTTCAGCATGGAAAGTGCAGCAGTAAGCATTTTTCTGTAAATATTAACAACATGTTCTTACCTCTGGTAAGACTACAAATGCTCCTGTCATTATGGTAAGTACAATATTGATTCCAAACAGCCATCTCAAGAAAATGAAGTAAGAGGCAACTCCAGACCCAAAGTGACCTTAAACCACAGAAAATAGTTACCTGAGTTAAACAGTCTACACAGTCTATAAAAGCTCATGTCATTCATCCATGAAGTATTATTTGAATAGTAGACCAAGAGAAAAACCTCTCTTATTCAAACAGAGAGTACACCAAAGTAGAGAAAATCTTAACATGTCACTGAGGAAAACACAATTGCAAACAAATTCTGTTGGGGACGTCTCATAATTACGAGCACCATTTGTGCAAGAAGCTACTGAGCTGGGAGACATCCTGCACCCATTTTCCTTCACCACTGGAGCACAGAGGTATGACCTGACTCCTGGTGGGATGTTAGAGCTGCTTTCAAGTCCATTGAAAGAATCGAGGGCTGGTGACATGGTTACAACCACATTTAACCCTGGGCAGATGTGGGCCCGTTGGCCCAAGGATGCTGCCTCAGGGACTGTGATAAACTAAAACCTAATTTTGCTGTGTTTTCAGAAATACAACAGAACAAATATGAATTTTTCAAAAGCTTCCCCCTCACCCCAAGACCATAAACAAGGACTGTGTAGTTTCCAAGGCACTCGGAGAAGAAGAAAAAACAAAATTTTAAATAAAACACTCACTGCCGAAAATTTGCACGTAACTTCCTCCCACATATTATTTAATTCAGTACATTAAAAAATAAACCATAAGACTCAGCATTTTAACAAGTGTTTTACTATTCAGTGCCATTAAATCTTTATACTTACTCTCAATTTTCTTTATTCTCATTTCCCAAGGAATAAAGATTACCACAAAATTATACGCAAGTCGAATAAACTTCCTCCAAAGCTGAGAAAAAAAAGCAGAGAAATGAGAAATATGACACTTCTCCATGTTAAAAAAGAAAAAAAAAAGGAACGGAGTACATTGCTTATGTCTTATCTTTTACCACAGGAATTGTTACAAATATTAATGGACTGAGGTCTGAGAGCACATCTGTGGGTAAAGAAGGGTAAAGCAAAGCATGAGAGGTTTTAGACAGAACATGGGGGATACAGGATGCCTTGATTCTGTTTATCAGTTGAATGCCAACAAAGATGGGTCAGAGTGCCCTTTATTCACCTCTGAGGGCACAGTCAGGAGCCACCAATCTACATCTTTTGCTCATAAAGACCACGAGGAACCAACAGAAGACAGTGGGTGCCATTCCCTGTTGCCTTCCTGCTGGGGCACCTACCCTCTGGGTAGTCTATGAGGGAATCCTGCTCCACTACACATAATAAATTTGATTTTTTAGGACAAACAAACGGACAGACCACTAACTTCAAATTTGAGAGGAGCATAGTGCCTTAGAGGAAATTTTCTTAGAGGAAGAATATTCAGTAGCAGCAAGCTCAACTGCTATATTTTCAGCTTTCTGTATTACAGCCAATACCTGCAGAAAGCCTAGGGTTATATTTTGTAGAGTCTTTATTCAACCTTCACTTTTTGCATGGCCAGGGGACCTTCCTGCACACCGTGGGGTGTGCATGCCCACATGGGAGAAGAAACAAAATCCAACTGTGCTAAACTGCATGTGGTTTTTGAGTTGTTGAATTTGAGCTATAAATTTACAGTATCAACAGAAAAAATAGTATTTGTATTTCAGGCATTATAGAGTATTTTTAGTACAGCTAGGTATTAAAAATCCCACCTATATTTTAGGCAGCAGCAGTGTCAATATTATATCATATAATCCAATCTCCTAAAGCCAAAGAGGAGTAAATAACTTTTTAATTACTGAAAATTTAATCAATCTCTTTGGCCAAAGTTAAATAATTTTTATGGGGATGTGGATATTTAATTGCACAAATGGGAAGTATTTTAACAAAAAAAAAGAAAGTGCAGATGCTGGGAATTTGCATGGGAATTGCTGGAATTGCTACTTTCAGCTGAAAACAGGATTTGCAGGGCTGAGGAAGGACTCCATCAGCTTGTGCCAGCTGTAATGCAGATTTATAAAGAGTATAAGGGTGTCCACGTGAAAGTAGCATTTGTTAAAATATAATTTGATAGCTATCACCACTTTTCCTTCCTACTGCATACCTGAACAGATAACCTGTACTCTTAGAATCCAGAGTATGGGTATATGGCAGTAAATAAAATGTAAGAAACCCTGCAAAGTAAATGTAAAATAACTGAACTGGAAAAAGAAAATTACTTTCAGTGTCGAGACAGTAAAAAGTATTTTAACGTCAATTTTCATATGTAATATCATTCGTGGATTGTCCAATTGTGAAGAGTATATATTTTGACAATTAAAACCCCTAATTTAAATACATATGCACTTAACAGCTGCATTTTGTTCTTAGCACATGTTCAGCCACTGAGTTCTTAATTTTGATGACATAGTGCTTGTTTTGCTGTGCTGCAATTTTTGTCTCCTTGGTCACCATGTTATTTTCTAAGAAAATATGTGAAAACAAAGCTCTTCCAAATTAAAAAAAAAAAAAAATAAGGAAAGAGAAAACCGCAGCTCATTCTGTTGCATTTGCTGAATTTAGTCCTGATAAAAAGGCCATATTCTCTAATTTCTGCTGGGAAAAAAAAATACAAATCCTCTACATACAACGAGCAGTGCTAATTAACTGCTGAATTATATCCCTGTGCTGAATATCTTCAAGCAAATACAGTAGAGGAAATTAGATTAGACACAAACTTGTATTAGCTGTGAACTCTTAGATGAAATATTATGGTTTTGCATAGGAAGAGTAACATAAAAAAAATACCAGTCTGTGATTTACTGACATGTATTGCAGACCTTTAGCACTTCTCTTTCTAGATAACATCCTAGTTCCCCACCCATAAAGGCAAAATTAGTGTTTATTTTACCAATGTTTGTTTCTTCCATTGCATTTGCCAAACATGAAAAGACAGAACAAAGAAAACTTACTCTTTCTACCTTGGAGAGCAGTGTTTTTAACCTGCTGTGGCCCAACATTACAGTACAACAGATACATATGCAGCCCTTCACTTGTTCACATGAATAAAATGCATGGGTATACTATTAATGGATACAACCCTTTTTGAATTAAGATAAGTTACTTATTAAAAGTCTATTTATTACGATGACAAAAATATTCTTGACTGCTTAGATGACTAAAGAACTCTTTTGTGTTAGTTGCTTATTGGATACAATTTCTTGCATGTTATAAATTTCCAGAAACTCAGGCCAGAGTCTATTTTCGGCGGTGTAAATAGATTTGCTAAGATTTGATTCAAATTGTTTGAGTATTATGCAAGCAAAAACCTTCTTTAACAATGTATTTACCAAAAGGTAATGTAGGATTGCCTTCCAAACTAAAAGCTAGACACATTTTTCATCATAAACTATTGAACTGTGGCCCCAGAGTCTGTTGAAGTAGCTCTTCAGGGAATACTGCACTGTGTTATTGATATCCCACTACCCCTCCAGCAGGCATCAGTATTTGTAGACTCTCTGAAAAAATAGCTCATACCACGCTGGTAGAAGGACGTTTGCTTCTCAACACACAAAATTAGTCGGCACAGCAAGCGCATACCTCTGTAAATGAGAACTGCAAATGGCTGCTGTATAGGCAAGAGCTGAGATTTAAGAAAAACCAGCCGTACCTCTGCCCCAGCAGCTTGGTAACCTCTGGTTCTAGTGAGCCTCCCTTCGTACTTCAGCACGATCTCCTTCGCCTGCCTGCACAAGAAGGTGGAGGTTACTCTACATTGATTCCATTACTCAGGGCCCTTATTCTGCACAAGCAGCAACCATTAGAGTTGTCAAATGCTCTGGAATACAGCCATGGACTGTCTCATCAACAACCATCCATCAATCATCCAGGCAAAGTTTTTTCTTTGATTATTGAGGTTTTGACTGATATTTTAAATCCACTCAGAATTTTGCCTGAGAGAACTCAGCATTCAAAAGACTGCAGGGAGAATTTTCTATTCGTCTATTTCTCTATCCTTTTTTTTTTTTTTTTCCAAAATGTTTCTTTTAAAATGGAACAACCCAAATGAGTAAAATTACAAGATCCCCAATACAGACTGGTAATCTCACTTGGATACCAACACCTCTTATGCAGATATGGTGCAGCTCTTCTGTGAGATGGAAAGAGGTACATGTTCATCTGGTCATACACAGACTTTGACCTCAGCAGAAGGTGGATGGGGATCACCAAGATCTCATCAACATGAGCAGGAAGGCAGCAAGACACAGACTCTGCCTAAGAGAGGAAAACCTCTCTTCTTTCCAGATTACACAAGGGCTTTACTGCTGGTAGGGATTCCTCCATGATTACATGGCCATCTGAGCACCATACAGGGTTTTAAGACAAAGATGAAAAGAGTAAAAAAACAAACCAAGCCTCAATCAGATCATATGGTAAAGGATCTGACATTGTTTGGACAGGGGGCCCAAAGAGTTAGTCACACACTCTTTCATTATAACTTTGGAATTATTAATAAAATAATTACAATCTTAAACTGTGGAACAAGTCTACACTGACCATATCTTTAAAACCTACAAGTGTCCTTTATTTACAACCAGTATGTTCCTTGAAGATATGACCATCTTCTGTTTCCATACCATGCAATTACCTTAAAAACAGTGGGCTGATTCTCCTATTTTGGGACACAGTGAAACAATTTAGCTTAAAAAAGTATTACAGAACATTACCAAAAGCCTTTCTTTAGATCACTGAATAACTGACACACTGTTGTAGTGGTAACAAAGCATGATTTCTTGCTCTCTTGTGCTGTTACTCTCTAAAGGGAGCTACAGGCGTGTGCAGGGGACAACTTCACCTACAGGCTGTCCACCCTAAGGCTGCTGCCTTCAGCCAGCTCTCAGATCATCCTCATGGCATGCTTTCCTAGCAGCTCTTAATCATTTTTTGTGCACAAACCCTTCCAGCTTACACTGGAAAAGTCCTGAGGCTGCAAGCACTGTCACAGTCAGTGAGCCTGAAAAACCTTTGTGCAGACACCTTTACCTGAGCGCCCTCAGCTTCTGCCTCATTGGCCACGGCCGGCAGCGGATGTTAGACATAATCTCCTTCTGGTACTGAATGTTCTGGAAGATCTGCTCTGGGTCATGGCTCTCAGCCTTTTCTTCACCGATATCGTCATCTGAGTTGCTGGCAGCCCAGCCCACACCCCACGAGAGGAAAAACAAAACAAATTATTCCCATTCAGATTCCCAGCAAACTGTTGATTTGCACAGGATCCATCCTATTAGAGCGACATAAGAGGAGTGAGCTAGGACACTTGCGTGACAATATTGTTTTAAAGTTGATTAGTAATTTGGATGAATTCCCCATCTTCAGGATTTGCCTCTTTCCCCCCCGACCACTTTCTACTCAGTCATAAATTATCCCCACTCCCCACCAGGAATTCCAGTCTTTTCCCTCTGAGTATTTCCAGCTTTACAGGTTGTACATCATGCTAGCAAGACTCTGTATATTTTTCTGGAACAGAGTGCTGTAGAAACATTTCCAGCAAGAGCACGTAACGTGCATTTATTCATCACACCTTTTATTTTGATTGCAATAATGATAAAATATTTTCTTGTTAGAATAGGGGGAACAGATGGTCTAAGTGCAGTCATCTTTTGATCCTGTTCCCTGCTGAGTGGGGTGGCAGTGTGGGACCCCACACACCAAGAATTACTCCTCCCTGTAAAAAGGTTCATGTGTTTTGCTACAGATTTCTGTAGATGATTAAATTGCCTTCTCTGATGCTGTCACCACATTTGCTAAACTATAGCTCTTGCAATTCCCTGTTAGTCTATGAAACAGCAGCAATATTCATTCTTACAGAGGTTTACATCTAAAAACCTGTGACTGTTTCTCCCTGAATGACATGAAGGGATCTGAAGGGCTGCAACAGCAACCAGCCAGGAAGTTTCCCATTTGTATTTCTATGTACTTATTGGGAAAGTTGTCTGAAATTTTGCTGAAAAAACAACAACTTTTAATCACTTAAAATTAAATCATAGCCTAAACCATGCCATGCAAGGAAATTGACATACTTCATCAGACCACCAATTCATTGGTCTGCAGTCCTGTCCCTTAAGTCACAGGGGCATTCAAGGGAAATGTATAATTATACAGAAAAAGAATAAAGAGATCTCTTACTC